AGAGATTCCGTTATCAGAAGAAGAAACTTATCGTTTGGATTCTTAGACATTCGGGCACAATGTAACTATGGGATAGCCACATATATATATAAATTCGATGGCACTCCGTGGACATGATTTGGGACTTCTGATTCGAATGAGTGGAACTTATCATTTTGTTCGTACATCCCTTGTTCTGTCCCAGGATTATGGTGTTATAGAGTCATGAGGTTATGGGGCTTGCAGGTATAGGGTTCCAGGGTTCCGGGATTAGTATGAAAAGGTTATAGGATTCTTAGTTTGGCTGTTTGAAGTTGAGTGAGTTACGGAGTTTGATGTTAAGTTGTGGGATCTACGATTTAATGGATTTTTTAAGATGTTTTTGGCTGTAGAAAAAAAATCCTTACGTGTAGGGGCAAAACTGAGGTCATATTCGGTTTCAGCAAGCAAAAATACATGGGAATATCATGGTCTAGTCCATGGCGCAGACAACTTTTTTTTTGTTGTGGGCCTGTGTAATTATCGCGATCGCCCGCTCGCGCATGCTTTCTTCCAGCCGTCGTTCCGTTAATTTTGACAGCGGCCAATTACGCGTAATGCGCTCAGGTCACCTCGCGCAATGTTTGAAATCCGCAAAACTATTGGCGCTTCACGCGAAGATGGGCTCCATCCTAAAAATTATAAAAGAGGAGCTCACACCCGGCTTACCAGCCTTATCGCTTTTCCGCCGTGGACCGCATAACGCAAACCGCATACTTGTTAAACCGCTAAAATTTCGTTGACGACCGCCGCTTATTCCACACTTTGATTTTGATTACGTTCTCTTCTGTGAAATAATTAACATTTGTCATAAGTTGTTAAAGTGTATTTTGTCATTAAACCTTTGTTGAAATTAAACTCTTTAATACAAAAAAGATGACTCATCCTTTGTGTTGCGCGATCCTCTCTCTCGCAGCGCGTTCGTGAACATATTTCTGGTCCTTCGAGCCGGATCTATCGCACCGGCAACCGCAAGTTCGCGAACGTGACTCTTCGTGTGAGTGAAGAAAGTGAGCATCTGTGTGTGCAGCCATCATAGATGTACCCACGCTGGTCGACTGTCAGCGTGAGATTCAAATCCGCATCTCACGTTCCGTGGAGTATTTGAAGAAGCTGGGCAGCTCCAATATCACTACCAGTGCTATCGCCACACGCACCAGAATTTTGGATCAGCTGTGGACGAAGTTCAAAGCGCAGCACGATCTTATCCCAGCAGCCTTAAAAGAAAAGTTCAGCGAGAGCGATTATTTTAAGTCAGAATTGCACGCTGATACGGAGAATCTGTATGTCAATCAAAGAAGCATACTTGACGGCTACGCCGAACACTTTCGTGCAGCGAACGTACCTCCTTCTGCCGACACCACGCCAAGGTCGTCACTGCCGCGCATCAAGATACCGCCATTTTCTGGTGCCTACGCAGATTGGCCGTCGTTCAGAGATCTCTTCCTCTCCGTCGTGAGTGGCAATGCGATCTTTAACATCGAGTGCTTTTATCACCTCCGCTCATGCTTGACAGGGCCGGCTGAAAAATTAATCAAGTCGTTACCTGTCACCAATGACAATTATAATCGCGCTTGGGCGATCCTGGACAAACATTATAACAATAAAAAGGAATTGATCCGCTCCAACTTTGCCACGTTCATCGCCGTGCCAAAGATGAAGGGAGATACCGCAGAGGAGTTGAGACGCATTCACAACGGCGTTACTGCCGCCGTCAATGGTCAGGAGAGCATTGGACGTCCAATTAACACCCACGGAATGGACCTCTTCAACTTCCTAGTCACCGAATTGTTTGACGCACGCACGCGTCTGGAATGGGAATCGTTTACGTCAGACTCATCAGAGCCGGCACAAAACAAAACACTCGTTGACTTTATCAGCCGACGGATCCTGACGCTCAATGCCGCACGACCGAAGAGCGTCAGCAAACCGCCCGAAGAGGCTTCACGGATTGCCAAGGCTCACGTCACTAAGCACCAAGGAGCTGAGCCGCCGCACTGTACACTGTGTCGTGAAAGGCACACCTTGATGACCTGCCGAGATTTCAAGGCCAAGACCGTCAACGAGCGTAAAGCATTTGTAGAGACGAACAAGCTCTGCTACAACTGCTTAGGAAACCACCTCTTATCTCGCTGTCAGTCAAAGAACTGCCTTACGTGCGACGCACGACACCACACTACGTTGCACGGAGCAACCACGTCTTCACAGGCAGCTGAGGCCACCACACGCGCCACTACACTGACCACGACTCTTCAAGATCGAGATCATAAGGCTGTTCTTGCTACAGCTCGAATTAACATCGCCGATCGGTACGGCTTACCACACGCCGTACGCACCTTGATCGACCAATGTTCCGAGGTGTCGATCATTTCTAAGGCCTTGGCGCAACGTCTCCGCCTGCCTCGAGTCTCGACGGATCTCTCTATCTTCGGAATCGGAGGGACCCGCTCAGGATCAGCTCGTGACAAGGTCACGCTGCACGTCACGTCAGACGTGACCAACGCCGAGCTCCGCGTGGTGGCTTTTGTGCTGCCCCGCATATCATTGCAGCAAGGCTTAGTCTCGCGAGAAGAACGCAGCTGGCCTCATCTCGACGGACTCCAGCTGGTCGATCCTCGCTTCCTGGACGACGACCCAGCTGAGCTACTGCTGGGAGCCGAGGTCTACTCCTTGATCCTCGAGGAAGGTCTCCGCAAGGGTGACTCAAGGATGCCGATCGCCCAGCAGACCAGCTTGGGATGGATCCTGTCCGGCGGCTACGACGCAACAACAATCAACGGACATCGCCGCACATTCCGGTGCACCGCCGATCACGACCTCGCCGACCTCGTTCGACGCTTTTGGGAGCAGGAGAGCGAGCCAATAACTCGGGCTCCACTTACTCCCGAGGAAGCTAAGTGCGAGGAATTGTATGTGCGCACCGTCACACGCACGTCCACCGGGAGGTACATTGTGAGGCTACCACTTTCATCACCGCCGACGAATCTTCACGAGACTCGCCGACCAGCGGAGCGCCTCCTGAGAGCCATGGAGACCAAAGGCAGCCGAGATCCTCGATTTGGCGACCTCTATCGCAGCTTCATGCAGGAGTTCGAAGACCTACAACACATGAAGAAAGTCAACATTGCAACTACAGCGGATGATCTCAAGTGTTACTTACCGCATCACGGGGTCCTGAAGGAGTCGAGCACGACGACAAAACTCCGAGTCGTATTTAACGGCTTTCAACGCACACGGGCCGGTACTTCGCTGAACTCTCATCTGTTGACTGGGGCGAATCTTCTGCCAGCGCTCAACGACGTGTTGCTGCGATGGCGTTGGCACCGGTACGTCTTTGTCACCGACATAGAGAAAATGTACCGCCAAATCCTCGTACATCCTGAGGATTGCCGTCTTCAAACAATCCTGTGGCGTCACAATAAGACGGACAAAATCCAAGAATACGAGCTGCTAACAGTGACCTACGGTATGGCTTGTGCACCGTTCCTGGCCATATGAACGCTGCGGCAACTCTGTGCAGACGAGGGGACGCAATTTCCTCAAGGGGCCACAGCACTTCGGCGGGACTGCTACGTCGACGACGTGGTCACCGGCGCAGACAACCTCGACGATGCCATCAACCTCCAGACGGAGCTGCGCTACCTGTGCACGGCGGGCGGATTTCCACTGAGGAAGTGGGCCTCAAATAACTCCGAGGTCCTCGCGGGAGTCCCTCAAGAGCATCGGCTGCAGCAAGGACCGCATTTATGGGACGGAGAGAGCCATTCGACCTTGGGCCTGCGATGGCATCCTCAAGATGACTGGTTTGCCTTCGCAATACATCCGCGTTCAGTCACAGAATTCACGAAACGACGAGTTCTCGCTGAGACTGCACGGCTATTCGACCCGATGGGCTGGCTTGCGCCTGTCGTGATTCGGGCGAAGATCCTGATCCAGACCACATGGCTTCAGCAGCTGGACTGGGACGCTCCACTGCCTGTCAAGGATGTTCAACGTTGCAACGTTGTCAAGGATGTTCAAGGATGTTCAAGGATGCTGACACTTCCGAACGAGGATACGCCGCAGCGGTTTATCTCCGCAACTCTGAAAAGAGGAAAACATCAACTAATTTGCTCATGGCAAAATCCAAGGTCGCACCCGTCAAGCAAGTCTCACTGCCTCGCCTGGAGTTGTGCGCTGCTGATCTACTCACCACGCTCACGCTGCATGTCCGCAACACGCTCGGCTTGGCGTCTACTCCAGTGTACCTGTAGTCCGATTCCAGGGTCACGCTCCATTGGATCCAGGGACACGCCACCCGCTGGAAAACTTTTGTCGCCAACCGGGTAGCTCATATCCAAACACAGCTCCCGGACGCTCAGTGGAAGCACGTAGCCGAGAAAGACAATCCTGCAGATTGCGCATCAAGAGGAATTACTCCTGGAGAATTAATCAACCACGCATTATGGTGGACAGGACCTACCTGGTTGGCACTGGACGAAACGGCGTGGCCCAACTCAGAGGTCGACATCTCAGAGGACGACCTTCCGGAACAACGCACCACCAGCCTGATAACCAGAAGTTCCGTCATCATCGAACCGGACCTTCTTCTTCGGTTCTCCGCACTTCATCGGCTACTGCGCGTTACGGCTTGGTGTCGTAGATGGCTCAACGTGGCGAGCCGGGAGGTCACATCTGGTCGCCCGCTGCATCCTGACGAGCTAGACGCCGCTCTACTCCAGTGGCTTCGAGTGGTGCAGGCGCTCCACTTCCCTGACGAGGTAGCTGCTGCCACCGCAGGACGGCCCGGTCCACCACGCAGTTCACTGGTCAAGCTGAACCCATTCCTCAACGACCAAGGTGTGCTTCGCGTCGGAGGACGCCTCAAGCACGCTCTGCTGCCCTACGACGAGAAGCACCCGGTGATCGTCCCGTCGGCCTCCTAGATGACGCGACTGCTAATCGAGTCCTGCCATCGTCGGTTTCTGCATGGCGGCGTCCAGATGACTCTCAGCTTACTTCGCCTTCGATTCTGGGTGCCACGTGGAAGGACCGTCGTCAAGCAGCAATTGCATCGGTGCGTCACTTGCACGCGCTGGCGAGCTGCCACTCCACAACCTCCTATGGGCAACCTTCCTCGTGACCGAGTGACGCCGACTCGGCCATTCCTGAGTACTGGCCTGGACTACGCGGGACCCATTTCTATCCGGACCAGCAAGGGGCGCGGACACCGCTCACAGAAGGGATACATCGCAGTCTTCATATGTTTCTGGTCAAAGGCTATCCACCTCGAGGTCGTCTCGGATTACAGCTCCGAGGCCTTCATCGCCCCCTTACGCCGCTTCGTCTCTCGCAGAGGTCTGTGCACGGACATCTACAGCGACTGCGGCACAACATTCATTGGCGCCGATCGCACGCTGCGTGAGCTCTTCAAGGCGTCGACCTCCGAGGGCCATCACATCGCCCGCGCCGCCAACACTCAAGGGATCCGCTGGCACTTTAATCCGCCAGCGGCCCCTCACTTCGGTGGTCTTTGGGAGGCTGCCGTAAAATCCACGAAATTTCATCTCCGTCGAGTAATCGGCGAAACTACACTTACGTTTGAGGAGCTTAGTACACTCCTCACACAAATAGAGGCGTGTCTTAATTCTCGTTCGTTACAGGCTCTGTCAGACGATCCAGACGACACTTCGGCGCTCACACCAGGCCACTTCATCATCGGAGCACCGGTACCTGAGCCATCGCTGACGGGTCAATCAACCTCCACGCTGTCACGCTGGCGTCACCTGCAGCTGATGCGAGACCATTTTTGGCAGCGGTGGTCGGCTGAGTATGTGCACGGTCTCAACCCCCGCACCAAATGGTTCAAGGCCGAGTCCGTACCTCACGTTGGGGACCTCTGCATCATCCGCTCGGAGCTCACCCCTCCGACCCGATGGCCTCTCGCGCGAATCACGAGACTGCATCCCGGGGACGACGGTATCGTCCGCGTGGTCTCAGTCTGCACCGCCACATCCGAACTCGTGCGCCCGATCGTCAAATTGGTCATGCTTCCGGGCGCGGATCGTATTCCGGGCATGAATAACGCGGACACGCCGTCCGCCGGCACGTAACTCATCTCTCATCTCGCGACACTCATTCACCACATAATCATCACATGCACTGTAACATTTGTCGCACCTCATTCTTCTCATCATCACCGCATTGCACTACACACTATTCATTGCACATCAAACACGCGTTTTCACTCTTGCAGCTGATCGCTCCGCACCACGCTATCGACTTGAGATTCCGCGGCCGAAATTCGACAACATGTTGTCACTGCGCGACAAGGCGGGCGGGAATGTTTAAAACGCATAAGAAAACATTATCCGCATAATAAAATATTATATTCGAATAGAATACTTTAGAATATTCTAGAGTATTCTATTCGAATATAATATTTTATTATGCGGATAATGTTTTCTTATGCGTTTTGAACAACTTGCATTTATATTTTTATGCGTAAATTTTTACAGATAAAATATATGAGTTGTTATGGCAATAATATAGACGAAACTAAGGCAACAATGAATGTAATGAAAAAATTAATGTATAACTGTTTAGCGAAGAACATAAATTTTAAAGGTATCGATCCGAATTCTACAAAAATTGCTTTAGAAAAATGTCATATGTGGAATTTGATACAAGGTAAATTATTTTGTATATTTGATCTTTTATATATTTTAATTATACACTACTCAAAAGAAAATAGAGAATACTTTTTACAAAGCAAAAAATGGGCTAGCTTCAAATCGTTGTAACTCCGTGAAAAATTATTGTACTTCCGCACTCTCGATTTACGATCCCCTGCACTTGTTAGTTAAAATACTATTAATAGTACGTTAAAGTAGAAATTTCAAGCTTTAAAATGTTTTTTTGAACACCTCTGCACGATGATTTTTCGCTAAGTTATGACAATAATTGTGAAAAAAACAGGTTTAGCTTCAAAGTCATGTAATTCGGCCTAAAAAAATCGTAGACAAATTAAAAAAAAAAGCATTTTGTAGATTAAAGATTGTAGTTTATGGAAATTTCGTTGAATTTGTCTAAAGAATTTTTCTTATTACGGTATAGAATGTTAAAAATTCACGTAAATTTAAGGAAAAAACGGTATGATTTTTTTAGAGTATAGCACTAAGAAGATGAAGAGATTTTTAAAAACTATCGATAGGATGTTAAAGTAGAAACTTCAACCTTAAAAATGCTTTTTTGAACACCTCTGTACGATGATTTTTCACGGAGTTATAACGATTTGAAGATAGCCCACTTTTTGCTTTGTAAAAAGTGTTCTCTATTTTCTTTTGAGTAGTGCATATATCATCAATTTTATATGTATAATATATAATAATTATAATTTATTTATGACATAATTTTATATTTATTTTTAGGCGTAGTGATGTACAAAAAAGAAAATTGTGACATAAATAAAATTAAAAGAACATGTCAAAATTGGCTCAAGCAAGCTCCAAATCGGAAGCAAGAAACGTTATAAATCATTAACACATACATTTTCCTGGATTTTACAAATTATTTTATATAAAAACTATATATATTATATAACTATATAAATTAATATTACTGAACAAGAGGCGAATAAGTGCGAACCGCGCATATACAAACTGTTTCAAAATAACCGTATCAACGCTTAAGGACGAATTTTTTGGTCAATTTAAAGACAATTTTTCCTTTGTTAGTAAAATTGTTGAAACATCAATAATTTCCGAGCAATTTAAAAAAATAGGATTTTCATAAATTAAACTTTGTAGAGTTAAAATATTAACATAATTACATTTTTTAATTATAATTATTTATTTTACTTTAATAAAATTTGAATTTAAGGCTTAGTTACAAAGATATACAATGACAAAAATTGACGTTTGCAAAAAATGACCTTTCTTGACATTTTCACTGAGAAAAAATTGTCTCCAAATTGACCAAAAGAATCTGTTCTTAAGCGTTGATTAGATTATTTTAAGACACCCTGTATAGTAATGCAGTTTTCTTTGCAATTATAAAAGTCAATTTCTTTTTCTTTAAATACGTGTTATATACATATGTATTCTTAAAAAATTTATTAAATTTAATTCTTAAAAATTATTACACATCTTATTTATTGCATTTGGCCTATTTCATTATTATTAATATACATATACAATACAAAAAAATATAAATTTTTAAAGTATACTCGATAATAAGAAAATGCGTTGATATATGTTGAATTTATGCATATAATGAAAATGCATATATGTCCCGATATTTGCATAAATTCGTATGTAAGATATTTTCCGAATATTCCGAATATATAAAATAATTGTATATAGATTATAAAAATAAACGTTTAACAAGCTACTAATAGACGTCTTTGTAATGTTTATTTAAACGTCTTATATACAATTAATAACCGTTTATATAAACGTCTTTTAGAGGTTTAATTTGAAAGACACAAAAACGTCTAATCAACCAAATTTTAGACGCCTATATCAACCGGTCTTTTTAGTTAAATAGTCGTTGATTCGATGTCTTTTCAACTAATGATTTCTTACTGGGTATTTACCCAAGCAACATTTATCAATAAATTTTATATATTTAATATTTAAAATATATACATAAAATACATTTTGTGATGGGCGAATATTTTAACCCTCATTACATACATCATGATTACACATAATCTGTCAAACACATAACTGTTAAAATCAAAATTGATATATATCTATTACTTCATAACCTCTGACTTTTCTGATATTTTGTGAATTTATTTTTATAAGTTTAAAGTGTAAGACAGGCAATAAGAGCCAAATCGCGGATAACAGTGCGTTATCCCAATGAGGGGGGAAGAGGGGATGTATGGAATTAAATCTCTTGTAGAGATTATTCCAATTTTAAATCTTGGCCGTGACCAAGTAAAATTTGGTGCCTTGTGCACAGGTATTTAATTCTAACGGAAAAAATTTTAATTTTGTTGGGATAACGCACTATCATCTGCGATTTGCCTCTTATTGCCTGTCTTACACTTTACAATTTATATTTATATTACAGAGCTTTGTTAAACTCTGAATTTATTTTTATTCCTTGCTTTTAATATCCTAGTCTAAATTATCATTCGTTTTAATATTTTTTTATATTCTAATATCAAACGACGCGGTAGCGACGTGCTGCCTGCAAGTATATAAAAAAATTCGATATTACATGCAAATATATCTTTGTAAACATTTTTTTAAATTTAAAAATAAAATTTAAAAAAAAATATATATAAATATACAGTTTAAAAATAAATATAAGATCACAGTTACTCAATCGAATATAAACGGTATGTTAAATTTGCGGATTATTATCTGATCTGATATAAAATTTATCATAAAATTATCTTTCTTTTAAGAATGATATCATTTGTAGTCAAACGATTTAGAGTCGGCATTAAAAAGATTTAAGTGACAAAAAACTTGATGTGTTCAGGTCGAGATATTAAAATTTGATATGCAATAAATCGTAATAAGCAGTAGCAAACATCTATTGTTTCGAAAAATCTTGTTTATTTGATACCACGAAGACTATAGATAATAATCGATTCCAAAAGATATCGGACAAAATATTAATTTTGTTTTTGTTATTAAAAAAATAAAGCTGTACAAATACTTTTTGTGTCTTTGAATATATAATTATTTTTTTAGAAATTATCTATGTACTTATAAGGATGGTTTATTTTCCCATTTTATTTGTTCACAAGTAAGAATTTTATATTATGCGTATGGTTTTAAATAATGCGCATTTTTTTGTCCTTTTATATTAATCGATATTATTTGATTTATTGTTAATTTTAATGTAATTTTACTTCAGTAACTAATTCTTTATTGTAACTTGTGTAGATTTCAAATTTATTTAGACACTTGATAAGGACTAGAAATTGCTGGTCGAAACGTAGTGTATTACGAATAAATAATTTTTTGGCTGATTGGTCCACATTAAAAAACTTTATTTAATTTGTTTTATTATTTACCGGCGCTTGATTACTTCTTTTTATTTTTTTATTTTATTGTTTTAAAGTATAAAATGTTATAATTTATAACATAATTTTGTTGATAAATATGTATAAAAATTTACATCTCACCAATTTAAATGCTATTTAAATATGTTATAGGTGTATTCTAATTCTTCACAAGAATCAAGTGGCGGTCGGCATTAATTTAGGAGATATAATAAATAAAAGTTTGACACCAAAATTTGTATGCGATGTAATAATGTTTATTTTTTAGCGAAAAAAGTCTCTTTATGATCTTTATATATAGGCAGAGGAGAGGCTGCGTCCTTCCTCCTCCTCCATAATTTAACTCAATTAATATCCGAGGAATAAATTTTTATTAATAATAATTCACCTCTTGGAGATAGGTTTGGATTAGATTATATCTTCCGGAGCTACCCCTAAGGGAAAACGGTACCCACTGTGCCCACGAATGCTTTGCAAGACAAAAATTAATCTTAGGTTTCGCCTCTTCTACAGGGAAACTGTATTTCCGAAATTAAAAATACGGAATATAGCATAACCCATACCTATGTTCTAGAAGTTTCTTTTATCAGTATTTATCAGAGAAATAAATAAAAATAATACTTTATGTAAAAACATATATATTTTATCTTCTTTTACAAAGAAGATAGATAATGTTTTGTCTTTATATCAAAAAATATCTCTATTTGTTCTTTAAATGTAAATTTTCGTTTAAAAAGAAATTCTGCAATATAACCAGCATAATGTTGTTTCCGAGTAATTATATCTCAATACGCATCGCGTGGAATGTTAACACGAAGTGTCTCTCCAATCTCTTTCAATGTTTTAAGTATGAGCTTTACACTTAGTGTCAGGATTGACTGACGAAATTGTACAAATGATTAGTAGGTCAGGTTAAGTGTTTATATCCTTCATTTTCCATACATTTATACACTTAATTTCAATATTATTCTCTAATGAATCAAGACAAAGCTAAAAAAAATTTTTAATACACAAACGAAAAGATAATTAAATATCAAAATATATGAAAATATAATGAAAAATTCCTCCTCCTATAATGAAAATATA